CCTAATTAGGTTGTACCCCTTATGGGCTACCCCACTACAGCCTACACAAATGTATAAGCTATAATGTTCTGACACACCCCCATAGGCAAAGTGGAGGAGAACAAGTGGTCACAAGACCAGTCAAGCAAAGCAAAGCGAAGCTAAGCAAGCTCAGGGTGGATCACAAAGTCACCACACAGTCCAAGCACAAGAGTAAGGCCACAAGGCCAGTTCACATGCAAGGTCATATATATAAAGGTAAAACAAGCAAGGGCAGGTATAGAAAGAAGACAGTACAAACAAGATCAAGAAGTGAGCAAGTGAGGCCAGGTAGGCACAAGACCTAGCACCGTACAGAATCGCTGATGATCACAAGGCCGAAGGGCCTTGGTGAAGATATCGGCAGTGTTGGCCTCAGAGGCCACGTAGGTGAGGCGGAGCTGACCACGCTGCTGCAACTCACGAGACAGGAAGTAGCGGTGAGCAATGTGCTTCGTTCTGTGCTCTAGTCTGTGCTCCCGACACAAGGCCAGCATGGCCTTGTTGTCTACGTACAGAACTGGAGGAGAACAAGGCGGCTCTCCTAGGTCAGTCAGTAGGTAGGTGAGCCAGCGTAGCTCCTGTGCAGCCATGGCCCCTGTGTAGATCTAAGCCTCACAGCTGGAGCCGAGAACAGAGGACGAGCGGGTAGACCACCACGAAACAGAGCCAGAGCCAAGGCTGAAGGTGTAACCGTGTGACGACCGCTGCGTAGCCTGGTCGTTAGACCAAGAAGCGTCAGCGTGACCAGTAAGGACTACTCGACGTCGCCCTCCAAGCACTAGCCCCATGCCCGACGTACTGCACACGTAGCGCAACACCCTCTTCGCTGCAGCCATGTGCTCTGGTCGGTGTCTCCCAGGAGCAACATAGCGTGCCAAGATGCTAAGAGGGTATGCAAGGTCAAGTCGTGTGCAGGTCATCAGGTACATGAGGCAGCCAATAAGCTCTGGGTACGGGCCACTCAACTCTACGGACTCATCCGAAGGCAGAGCTGAGAGCGAGTGGCGAGTAGACAGAGGAGTGGCCTGAGGCGAGGAGTACGTGAAGGCGAAGCGCTGAAGGACCTGCTGCACCATGTGTGACTGAGTCAGAGTAATGGTGCGTTGTGCTCTGTCCCGGGTGATATGCAAGCCAAGGTAGCTGCGCAGTTCACCCAGGTCTATGCACGTGTGTCTCTTCTGCAGCTCGGACTTCACGTGGGCGAGTCCAGCAGTGTCAGCAATGGCAAAGACCAGGTCGTCAACACACACGAGGATGTAGAACGGCGGCAAAGAGGTGTCGGTGCGTAGAAACAGCGACGGGTCGGCTGTAGAAGGAGCAAACCCAAGAGCCGCAAGTGTAGTCCTCAGTGTGTCGTGCCACTCACGGGGCGCCTGGCGGAGACCGTAGACTGGCCGCCGGAGGCTCCACTGGGTGCCAGGAGGAAATGACCCAGTGAAGCTAGGAGGGCGGCGCAGCCAGATCTCCTCGTGTGGGCTGCCCTGCAGGAAAGCAGTGCTAAAGTCAACAGAGTGAAGCTCGTAGTCGCGCTGAGCGGCTATGTGCAGCAGCACCCGAAGAGTGGTCATCTTCGAGGTGGGAGAGAAGGTCTGAAAGTAGTCAACTCCCTGCCGCTGACTGAAGCCTCGAGCCACGTAACGCGCCTTGAAGACAGGCGGAGAGCCCGGCGGCCGCTTCACCCTGAAGATCCACATCCCACTGACGATGTTCGCCCCAGGTGGGGGAACCTCATCAACGTAGGTGCCTGTGGACTTCTAGGAAGCCATCTTTGCGTCCATGGCCGACTGCCACTGAGAGGAGTAGGGACCCTCGATCGCCTCAGCGTACGATCAAGGAGTCGGGATGTCTGGTGCATCCAGGTCTCTGTCAGGGGCAATCAGCGTGGACACGAGATGGGGCAAAGCAGCAGCAAAGCACTAGAACTCCTCCTGCCTGTCCTCAAGGACGTCCGTGCTAAGAGCACACTCACCCCCGACGGACGAAGGACAGACAGACTCAGACTCAGCAACAAGACTAGCAGCGTAGTCTAGACGACAGCGAGCAGCGAAGTCGACAAGCTCAGCAACGAGAGCAGACGTTGCAGCAGACTCAAAGGAAGGGTCCGTGACGACAGTAGCAAGTAGGCGCGTGACCGAAGGACTAGTAGCACGAAGGGAGTCAGACTCCGGGTCAGCAAGAGAAGGAAGAGAGGACTCTGGAGGAGACGGCAACGGGACACGCAGAGGAGCAGTGGAAGGACGCAGTGCCATCTAGTGTGTGTCGGGGACCGCAGGAGGACGCGGACGTGCAGTACGACCACTAGTGCGAGCAGCACGAACAGGTGACGCGGGACGAGACGTAGGCTCACGACGCTCAGCAAGACCTCCAGTAGGACCAGTGTAGGGAGAAGGAGCAGGTAGAGGGGAGGCGGGCGGTAACTGTGACTACGACTGGACAGGCTGTGGACACTCTAGGGGTGGAGCAGGACCAGTAGAGGGCGGGAGACCAAGAACCTGCTCCAGGAGCGGAACGAAGTACGGCCTCGGCCGCGCGGCGCCTCTAGAACCAGCAAGTACGGCACTAGTACCCCCAGCGGCAGCACCAGCGCCAGCAAAACCTCCAGCTCCAACAGCGCCAACTCCAGTACCCTCGGAAGCACCAGCGCCAGCAGCACCGACTCCGGTAGGACCGTCAGCACCAGCTGCCTCAGCAGCACCCCCAGACGCACTAGCACCAGTAGCAACATCAGCGCCAACACCCCCAGCAGCTCCCGCTCCAGCAGCACCAACTCCAGTAGGACCGTCAGCTCCAGCTGCCTCAGTAGCACCCCCAGACGCACCAGCACTAGTAGAAACACCAGCGCCAACACCCCCAGCAGCTCCAACTCCAGCAGCACCAACTCCAGTAGGACCGTCAGCACCAGCTGCCTCAACAGTACCCCCAGACGCACCAGCAATAGTAGAAACACCAGCGCCAACACCCCCAGGCTCAGCAGCACGTCTCCAGCGGCGGGCGAACCACACGCGCAGCTCCTGTGGAGAGAGCGGCTCCTGCCTCGACGAAGTACCGCCGGTGGCCACACGAGCAGACCCAGCACCCCCAGGCTCTGCACCCCCAGACTCAGCACCCCGAGGCTCAGCACCCCCAGGCTCAGTACCTCCAGTCTCGGCACCCCCAGACTCAGCACCCCCAGACCCGGCACCCGCAGATCCGGCACCCGCAGGCTCAGCACCTCTAGCAGCACCAGAGTCTACAGCTAACCACATGAAAAAGGTGCGGACACATGAAATGGCGGTATGAAGTCTGCTGGTGATTCCATGCAATAACCTTTGACCGTGCATTCACCTTTGATACTACACTCACCTCTAACCACGGGGTAGAGGCCTGGCAGCGAGTTGATGCCGCACACGCCATCCCCCCCCTGGATGTCCATGCGCATGTGGCCCCCATCGCCCCAGTCAGGCCCCCATGAGTTGCGGATGATCCAGAAGGGCGGCGCCATGTGGGGGAAGCGCGAGTCCTTGCCCACCAGGCGGTATCCCACCAGCAGCACCACGTGGTTCAGGTTGTATGTGAAGCACGCTGGATCCTGGTACTTGTACAACTGGGGGAAGGCATGAATGGGTAAGAGAGGACAAGGTAATGAGTGATCTGCCACGTGCTTCTGTAGAGTCCTTCATATAATCAAAAGTGCATTCAACAAGTGACTCACGGACATTCAAAAGCGTAGCAGGCGCCCAACCTAGGCATGAGCATCCCGCCCCAGTGGGTCGGGTCAGGAGTTCTGAGCTGCTGACCCGGCCGGGTCGGGTCGGGTATACACGGCCGAGTCGGGTCGACTCGTGACTCGATTCCGGGTCGGGTCGGGTCGGGTTTTGACCCGAATATGGACCCGACCTGGTTTCGGGTACCGCGCCCTTTGTCGGGTCGGGTACTGGCCCGACCAGAGGGCTTCCTCTCGACAATGTTATCCAGATCGCAGTCGCGCATGCTTGTCTTCCCAGCGACTAGCATTTCGATCTGGATTATGTTAAGCTACCTAGCTAGTGACGCCAGCAGCCATCCACTAAGCAACATTGGCGTACTAATCTACCCTATAACATGCGATAATGTTTAGTTTAGTACTCAGCCAATCGTTTTTCTACAAGTTATTCGCACTTCGTGCCAACCAGCCTAGGGTTTCCTTTTAATCCGAAATGAACAGGTCGTGCTCCCTAGGCGCACGCATTGCAGGCCCGCGTTTTAGAGCATCTCGGCGCGCCATGCAGGCGCACATCGTTAGAGCCGCGCCCTGCTGAAGGCTTTGGGAAACGTCATTCGCCAAGTTCCGCATTAGGTAGTTTAACCTCTAACCCTGCCTATGGGAGTCGGTTCGACCCTCCGTAGAATAGGTGATTGTGGGAGAGCCTAGGCGCAGAGTTGCACGATCACAGAGTGAAGTGCGAGTTTTGCGTATACGGACTTGTTGGATACCAGATACAGGTATTTGGCGAACAGTATGCTTGGTTTGCAACAACAGGCTTGGTAGCCAGTAACGAAAGGAAAGTAAGTCATTAATTGATTGTTTACAACAGATACAAGATGAACCTTATAGAGAAGCATAGTGACGTGCAAGAACGTTCTACGAGAACTTTGTTCATGACGAACGTTGTTCAAGAAGAACGTGCAAGCACCTACTCTAGTATGCGGTTCCAGGTTGGCACTGCCAGGTGAAAACGTCATCAGGTGAAAAATACCGTCAGGTGTATTTTCTACCTGACTAGGAGTAGTTGCACAGGTGCTCGCAACAGACAGCTGCACATGCTCGTTTGTGCAATGTCATCACTTCCCTCCATTTCGGTTCAGATCTTTGATGTTCCGACCCGACCCGACCCGGAACCCGGCTGGCCCGCCCAAGTCGGGTCGGGTCGGGTCGGGTCGGGTCGGGCCTTTTGATCATGCCTAACCCAACCACACCAACCTGATCATTTAAAAGCAAATCACACCACCCACCTCGTCATTCACAACCTAACCACACCACCCTCCTGTTCATTCACAGGCCCTCCTGTCTCAGTCACGCACACTCCTCGCCTCACCCCATCATAGTTCTTGAACGAGTCGGCCGATGCCTCAATGTGCACCACCACTGGCTGCCGCTGCACAGCCAGCAGCATCCCAAACCAGCCATAGAAGGACGTCGACTCAAAGCGACTGATGGGGAACCCACCAGGGAGCTGCTGGGATATGCTTAGTACAGGGTATGGACGAGGATCGAAGCACATGCATCTGCACCATGAAGCAGCATGAATGGAGGCATATGAGCAGAGCACTCATGATCAAGAACACGAGCTCGGGCTGGGAGCAGCACAATAATCCACTGTCCGAACAATGAAGCAGCATGCATTGAGTGAACCCTGCTGCGCTATAGTAAGCTCGGGACTCCAAGTCCCACAACCTCACTCACACGTAGCCTGGCAGTGCCATTGCCGCACTCCACACCGAGCAGCTTCGCTAGTGGCTTCAACAACGGGGAACAGAGAGGATTGCTGCTGCCTGACTTGACGGCCTTCTTGCCTTTCTCGGCCGGCCACTGACTATCCAACACGAGCCCGCCTCCTTTTTGCGCCAGCTTGAGCAGCAGCTGGAAGGCCTGAGAGGGCGTGCTGCCAGAGCAGCCGACCTTCATGGCGGCCTTCAGCTGCTCCACTGACAGCACCGGCGCCACTGAGGTGTTGGCGAGAATGCTCAGCGCCGCCTCCACGCTGCCCACCACTGCGTACGCCCAGCAGTCGCCTGCCAGCACATGCATCCATGGGTGGTGAGGGTTGCATAGGTTGCAAGGAAACATATGTGAGGTTGCATATAGCTACCTCTGCTGGTTGCTGCTTGGCAGCAGATCCTGCAGTAATGGGCGAGTCAGCAAAGATGGCTCAGGTAGTGAATCCACTGCACTGGGTAGTTCGATTCGAGGCAATACACCTTATAGTGAGCTATCCGTAGTATCTTATCCTTGTTCAGACTTTCAACCTAAGCTAAGCACATCTTCGATTGTAAGATCAAAGTCACACACACACGCTTGAATGCATAGACTTCACACACACCGGCACGCCTCCTCTCCTTACCAAAGAAAAGGGCTTTCCTAATGCCTTCCACAAAAAGGGCTACGAGTTTGCTTTTTGTTTGATCATGATTGCGTTTCTAGTCGACAGCCCGCCTCGTGAGCTATTTTGGCTCACCAAAGTAGGTTAGACCTGCTACAGACACCAGATAGGGCAATCCGTAGCCCAAAAACATGCCGACTCCATGTGGGGGTGGCAGTGCATACAAGTAGGGGTCCAGGACTGTCAGAACATATAGCTTATACATTTGTGTAGGCTGTAGTGGGGTAGCCCATATGGGGTACAACCCAATTAGGGTTAGAACTTGTACCCAACTCTTTCATAGTTGAATCATTCTCGTTTCAATTCTCACATGGTATCGAGCAGGTTCCCTTGTGGGAATTGTTCCTAAGGCCCTACTACTACTTCCGCTGCTACTCGATCTGTCGCACGCCCCGCGGCGTGCGACCTATTTTCATCTCGCCGCGCGCCAACGGCGCGCGCCCCGAGGCGCGCGTCCCCGCCTCTTTCGTCGCGGCCCCGCCCTACGTCGCGGCCCCGCCCCTTGTCGCGGCCCCGCCCTACGTCGCGGCCCCGCCCCTTGTTGCGGCCCCGCCCTACGTCGCGGCCCCGCCCCTTGTCGCGGCCCCGCCCTACGTTGCGGCCCCGCCCTACGTTGCGGCCCCGCCCCTCGTCACGGCCCCGCCACCTCTCGTCGCGGCCCCGCCATCTCTCGTCGCGGCCCCGCCACTCTCGTCACGGCCCCGCCCTTCGTTGCGGCCCCTGCCGCCCTTCGTCGCGGCCCCTGCCGCCCTTTGTCGCGACCCCTGCCGCCCTTCGTCGCGGCCCCTGCCGCCATTCTCCACCGCGGCCCCGCCACCTCCTTTGCGGCCCCGCAGCCCTGCACCGACCCGGCCCCGCTTCTGCTGGCCCCGTCGCCGCTCCACCCGGCCCCGCCGCTGTCCTCAGGCGGCCCCGCAGTCACCACCGCGCCGCCGGCGCCGCCCAGCTAGTGCAGAGTCACCCAAGCCGCCCGAGCCGCCCGAGCCGCCCAAGCCGCCCGAGCCGCCCGAGCCGCCCGAGCCACCCGAGCCGCCCCAGCCGCCCGAGCCGCCGGGTCGCCGAGCCGCCGAGCTGCAGTTACTGCCGAGCAGCCGTACCGCCGCGCCGAGCCGCCGAGCCGCCCAAGTCGCCCGAGCAGCCGAGCCGCCCAAGTCGCCCGAGCCGCCGAGCCGCACTTGCTGCAGTGCCGCCGTGCCGCCAAGTCGCCGAGTCGCCGAGTCGTCGAGCCTCCTCTTCCCACCACTGGTGAGCCCCTGCCTTACTAGCGCGCTGCCTACTGCTTGCTTGGCTGCCTGCCTTACTGCTGCTACTCCTGCTCCTGCTTCTACTAATGGCGGCCAGATGCAGCTCCAACGACGCCCAGACGCGTCTCTCACGCCCCAGAGTAGAGGGTCTCTCAGTTCTGTTCGCTGCTCTTACGTGATTCGCACTGGTGCTCGGACTGGTCAGCCTTGTGGGACGCCTAGTCACACACCGTCCCGCTGCTCTGCCCGTCAGAGCGACGCCTGGCGTACCGTGTTTGGCGACGAGGCTGAGCTCCCCGACTGGGTGGAGTTGCTTAGGCAGAGGGTAGATATATTTGCTCTTGACTATGATACTATTCTCACTGCCATGTATGCATTGCCTACTAGTGCTGACCGTGCCGGTCACCTGTGCGTACCGCCTGACCCGGGTATAGATCCTGCTGCTCTAGCTGCTGGTACGGCTGCAGCTCTGGGTGCTAGTGTGTCTCCTGCTCCAGGTACAGGTGCGGCTGCTGCTCTAGGTGCTAGTGAGTCTGCTTCCTCAGGTGCGGGTGCGTCAGCTCTCTCAGGTACCGCGTCGGCTCCGGCCTCTCACACCTTCACCCTTGACTCGAGGGCTTCCCGCTCCTTCTTTCAAGACTGCACCACACTCACGCCGCTTGGTCGGCCAGTTGCAGTCTCTCTGGCAGACCCCTCTGGGGGCCCTGTCCTTGCTCACTTCTCCACTGTCCTCCCGTGTCCGGAGGCCCCCTCTGGCACCCTGTCTGGTCTTTACCTCCCCTCGTTCTCTACGAACTTGGTGAGTGGTGCTGACCTGCAGGATGCGGGGGTTCACCAGTTCACTCCTGCGAGTCAGCGGGTGACCCACTGCACGGACGCTCGGACAGGCCGACACCTGGCCACGTTTACTCGTCGGCCGGGGTCGAGCCTGTACACACTGACCACTGCGTCTCCTCCAGTTGCTGAGCCTGGTAGGGTAGCTGCGTCGGGTCAGGTGTTTGCTGCAGCGTCCAGGTCTGGTCCTGAGTCTTCCCCCTGTTCGTGTCGTCTCCTGTCTCACAAGACTCTCCTCTGGCACCACCGCCTTGGTCACCCCTCTCTGCTTCAGCTCAGAGGCATGGCCTCTCGTCTTCTTGTTTCTGGTCTCCCCCGGTCCCTCCCTCCACTTCCTCAGGGCCCTGGCCCTACCTGTGTCCCCTGTGTCGAGGGGCGCCAGCGTGCTGCCCCTCACTCCTCCCAGTTTCCTCCGACAGAGGCCCCGTTGCAGACGCTTCACATGGACGTGTGGGGCCCAGCCCGCGTCCGTAGACAGGGTCACGAGCGCTACTTCCTGCTCGTTGTTGACAACTATTCGCGTTACACCGCAGTCTTCCCCTTGCGCAGCAAGGGTGATGTCACTGAGGTGCTGATCGACTGGATCCGCGCAGCTCGTCTCCAGCTCAGGCAGAGCTTTGGCTCGGACTTTCCTGTTCTGCGTCTGCACTCGGACAGAGGCGGAGAGTTTTCCTCTGGCCTTCTGAGAGCCTACTGTCGCGCACGGGGCATCCGTCAGACCTTCTCGCTTCCGGACTCTCCGCAACAAAATGGGATTGCTGAGCGCCGCATTGGCATGGTCGTGGACGTCGCTCGTACGTCTATGATGCATACGGCTACCCCCCATTTTCTGTGGCCGTTTGCGGTCAGGTACGCGGCGCATCAGATCAACCTTCACCCCAGGGTCTCCAAGCCGGAGACCTCCCCAGCCTTGCTGTGGACGGGGAAGGTTGGCGATGCGTCGGCGTTCCGGGTCTGGGGATCTCGGGCGTTTGTCCGCGACTTGTCTGCGGACAAGCTGTCCCCTCGTGCTGCTCCTTGTGTCTTCCTGGGGTTCCCCCCTGACGCGCCTGGGTGGCAGTTCTACCACCCCACCTCTCGCCGTGTTCTGTCCTCCCAGGACATCACGTTTGACGAGTCGGTCCCCTACTACCGCCTCTTCCCCTACCGCACTCCGTCCCTCCCCCCGCCCCCGCTCTTCCTTGTACCAGATCCCCCCCAGGTAGACCCCCTCCCCCCCTCAGGGTCCTGCCCCTTCAGGTGTGTCCCAGGTAGACGCAGTCGAGCCTATCGAGGTCACTGGTGACTCTGGTGCTGCTGAGGGTGCTGAGCCTGGAGGTGCTGTGCCTGGGGGTGCTGAGCGTGGGGGTGCTACGCCTCGGGGTGCTTTGCCTGGGGGTGCCGGGTCTGGGGGTGCTGAGTCTGGAGGTGCTCCGCCTGGAGGTTCTCCGGGTGCTTCGTCTCGCCGGGAGCCACTCTCTCCACAGGAGCTGCGCGAGTGGTTTGCCCGGCGCTGGAGCCGTGCAGCTGGTACTGGAGGATCTTTGGCTACTGGGGGTGCTGAGCCTAGGGGTGCTGAGCCTGGGTGTGCTGAGTCTGGGGGTGCTACGCTTGGGGGTGCTAAGCGTGGGGGTGCAGAGCCTAGGGGTGCTGAGCCTGGGGGTGCTGAGCCTGGAGGTGCTCCGCCTGGAGGTTCTCCGGGTGCTACGTCTCGCCGGGAGCCACTCTCTCCACAGGAGCTGCGCGAGTGGTTGGCCCGGCGCTGGAGCCGTGCTGCTGGTGCTGGAGGTTCGTTGGCTACTGAGGGTGCTGCTCTCACGGGTCCTGGAGGTGCTTGTCCTGGGAGTACTGGAGCTGCTGGGCCTGCAGGTTCGGCTGGAGCTGGTGCTGCTGAGGGTGTTGGCGCTGAGACTACCACTGGCGGTCCTTCTGGGGGTGCTCCTGTTGCTGCTGGAGGTTCTGGAGCTCCTGGAGGTGCTGCTGGAGCGGGTGCTCCTACTCGAGGTGCTCCGCCTGGAGGTTCTTCGGGTGCTACGTCTCGCCGGGAGCCACTCTCTCCACAGGAGCTGCGCGAGTGGTTTGCCTGGCGTTGGAGCCGTGCTGCTGGTGCTGGAGTTTCGTCGGCTACTGAGGGTGCTGCTGTCGCAGGTCCCGGAGGTGCTCGTACTGGGAGCACTGGAGCTGCTGGACCTGCGGGGTCGACTGGAGCTGGTGCTGCTGAGGGTGTTGGCGCTGAGACTACCGCTGGCGGTCCTGCTGGGGGTGCTCCTGGTGCTGCTGGAGGTTCTGGAGCTACTGGTGGTGCTGCTGGAGCGGGTGCTCCTGGTGAGGGTTCTGGTGCTGTCCCTGCTGCTTCTGGCGTCGCCACGCGGCTTCGACCGTACTTCGTTCCACTCCTGCAGCAGGTTCTTGGTCTTCCACCTTCTACTGGTCCTCCTCCTCCCTTAGAGTGTCCACAGCCCGTCCCGTCCCAGCTACAGTTGCAGCCTGCCTCCCCTTTGCCTGCTCCTTCTCCCTACACTGGTCCTACTGGAGGTCTGGCTGAGCGTCGTGAGCCTGCGTCTCGCCCTGCGTCGCCTGTCCGTGCTACTCGCACTAGTGGTCGCGGTTCGCGTCAGCGTCCTCCTCCT